TTTTTCTTATGATCACATAAACGAATTAGTACATACTAATTAAGAGTTTAAAAAAAAAAAAAAGATGACCAACGTAGCTAGAGAACTTTTGAAGAAGCAATTTTTAGGTATTCTACATGATAACGTCTGCGCGCCGGTTGTGATTGTCGTCGAGTGGGTCTCCGGTTGACAATAGTTGGCCACCCCCGGAGTGAACACCATTGCACACATCATTGTGTACACCTTTGCTCCATTACCCATACACACACACATGCACCACCCACCCTCGTTACAGAACTGTCTCGCGACCACAACGCCGGTTTTTCCGTCGGGCTGGTTGACGACGCAAACTTCTTCGAGTGGAACGTCTGTTTTGAAGGGCCAAAAAATACCCTATATGAAGGTTAACCTGGGAGACCATTTCCTAGCCTGTTTTAGGAACCTTTTTTTTTTTTTTTTTTTTTTTTTAAATCTTGCAAGTGGAGAAAGAGGTGCATACGGATGTGTGTACCATGAGAGGTGGTTTCCCCCGCCTAGGCAATCTTTCCTCATATGTATGATAACTTTTTTTTTTTTTTTTTTTTTTTCCTGACAGGGGGTATATACAATGCCACCCTTTCCTTTCCCACGGATTTCCCAAACCACCCCCCCCAAATGAAGTTCACCCAGGACATGTGGCACCCAAATGGTTTTCTACTCTTTTCCTTCATTTCGCTTTTTCATTTGAGCATGACCAATTCAAGCGCGTCCAATTAATGTGCTACAATGTGCTGCATTTAATGTGCTGCATTTAATACGTGTCCATTTTAGTGCCACATCGTTATCGTGGCGAACGCCCCCCTTTTTTTTCCTCCCCTTTTGTCGTTGCAGTTTTCCCGGATGGGAGAGTCTGCATAAGCATATTACACCCACCAGGTACATGCAGAAGGGACAGCATAAAATAAAAAGGGGAAACTGCGCCACGTGGCCACAGCTACGTGTGCGTTGTGTCGTGTTTTTATTGCTTCGCCATTTTTATGCTTGCCCATTTTTTTGCTTTTCACCCCCCCCCTCTCGCAGGTGTGGACATTTACAACGAGCAGGAGAAGTCGGAGGAACGCTGGAGACCCATCTGGTCTGTTGAAGGCATTTTGGTCAGCGTCATTTCCATGCTCAACGAGCCCAACCTGGAATCTCCTGCCAATGTGGACGCGGCGGTATGCCTAACAATGATTTGCGTGTGTGCGTGCGTGTATAACTGCATGATCCTTTTTTACTTCTTCCATTTATTGCAACATTGTACGGCCATTCCATGTGATAATGATACCCCTCCCTCAGGTTCAAATAAAGAATAATTTAAACGAGTACAAGAAGAAGGTGCGGGCCCTCGCCCGCATGTGCTAGGATATGCTATGGCTTGTTAGGACGTGCTAACCGGGTGCAGCATAGTCTAGTAGGCAGTTGTGTGCGCAAAGACAGTAGTGTCAACCGCATCTTCGTGCGCTTCCACGAAGTGGCCGCATTAAGTCGCCGTGTAAATACGACGCCCCAAGTGACAAACGATGGATGAATTAGAAAC